AATAAGTTGTCTCAAATATATACATCCTTGTAACTACCACATCATCAGCTCAAAAACCTTCTTTGTCCTTCTTTCTCACCAAAGAGGCAGGCATCATTCTGATCTTTATCCTAATAGTTATTCTTGTTCTTGAATTTATGCAAAGGAAATCTTTCGTTTCTAGTTTCTTTCACTCATCATAATTTTGTTTCGTGTATTACTAATTTTTCTTTTACTACTGAATAGTATTCCACTGTATAAATATACTATATTATTTTTAAATCTATTGTCTTGTTCATAGACGTATAAGTTTATTCTATTTTTAGGAAAGCATCAATAAAATATGGATATTCTTACACAGGACTTTTTGTGAATGTGTTTTCATCTTTTTGGGGAAAATTCCTAAACATGAGATTGCTGGATTGTATAGTAAACTTAGGTAAACTTTTAATAAACCACCAACTGTTTTTCAAAACATTTGTACGATGTTACACTCTAGTAATGGGTGAGCCTATAAGTTGTTTCCCATCTTTGCCAACAGTTGGAATTGTCTACAGTAGCCATTTTAGTAGGTGTGTGGTGGTATCACACTGTGGCTTATTTTATATTTTCTTGATGACTAATCAGATTGAACAGTTTCAAGTGCCTTTTAGAAAACCTTATTTGTAAAGTATTTGCTCAAGTTTTTTCTCCTTTTAATCAGATACAGATATTTTGTCTATTTACATGTTGTAGGAGGGTTTTACATACACACACACACACACACATCAGACCTCACAAACATACACGCATATGTGTGTCGGTGTGATGGTGGGTAAATGTCAGATGTACACATTGAGAATATTTTCTCCAAGTCTGTGGATTGTCTTTTTATTTTCTTAATGGTGCCTTTTGAAGAGACTTTTTAATTTTAGTGGTATCTAATCCATTGACTTTTTCTTTGATGTTTAGTGCTTTTTGTTCACTTAAAACACTATAGCATGCTTCCAGATTACAAAAATATTCACCCATGCTTTCCTCTAAAATCTATTATTTTGGCTTTTATGTTTATTTATATTACCAAATCTCAAATTCATTATTGCTTATGGTATGATGTACAAGTCAAGTTTGTTTTTTTTTTTTCATACAGAAAAGATGGCCTGAAAAAGGAAAAAAATGTTTTCCATATTATTTAAACCCCCTCGCCCTTTAGAGTGTTTTCTGTCTCTCACTAAAACTCCTGGCATCCTTGCCCCAGGACAGCAGTTGGGCAGAGCAGGGAATGTTTTCTTTGTTCTTTGCACTGCAGGGGACATCTCAGGTCCCTCCAGCCAAGCTCCAGACCAGTGGAGGGTACCAATGGATTCTGGAGATGAAAGGACCAGAGCTATCGACTATAGTTGACAGCAATACCCTGAACCTGAGAACTCTCCCCTTAAAAGTTCTGTATTTTCACTTACAGGGAAGGAATATTAGATTTAGGGATGATAGTGTACCTTTTTTCCTCCTTTGCTGGCAAAGCAATGAACTTCTCTTTCCTTCCTCTTAATCGCTTGTCTCGGTTCTTCTCGTGCAGCCTTGTGGGCAAGTGCTGAGCTTTCAGTAACAGATAGAAAGTAGTTTCATCACCACATTTTTGAAAGACTATCCTTTCCTTACTCAATTACCTCTGTTACCTTTGTCAAAAATCAAGTGACCTGATATATGTGAATTTATTTCTCTAATATGTTCTATTATTCTATTTTTTTAACCCTTGCAGGGACCAAGCACCTGGCTCCCTGAAGGTTTGCTGAACAATCACTTACCTAAGGCAGGTTGACTGACAGTCGAATAGATATACAAATTTATTTAGTGTTTATACATGGAAGCCTTCAGAATGAAGACCCAAAGACATAGAGGACATTGTCCATTTTTATGCTTTGGTTCAACAAAGTACGGACAGCCATATAGAAATATGATTGGACAGAAAATGTATAATCTAATGTTAATAAAACTTTTGCTTCTGAGGCCTGCATTTTGGAGTACTGATTTCTAAGTCCTTTCAGCCTTAATCTAATACAGCTATCTTGAGGCTTCTAACTTTCTTCTTTCACAAAAATATTTTCTTTTTAAACAAATCTAAGGCCTTTGAATTTCCATGCACATTTTAGACTTATCTAGTCAGTTTATCAAAAGCCCACCAGAATTTTGATTGGAACTTTTTTGAATTTTTAGATGACCATTTCTCAGATGATGATCATGATGATGACTGTCACCTTCCCCACAAAAAGCAAAAAATAAATTTTGTTTAAATTCTCTCTAACCAGATAAATTAAAAAATAAAGAATAAGTTTTGTCAGGCAGGGTTGAACTTTGGAAAGTGATAAGCCATCATAAGATCTAAGGTTTTCGCCCCTTAAGAATCAATTTTCACCCCCTTGGAGGGAGCAATTGCTACTATTGAAAACATAAACTTTTTAGATCAATGTGGGAGGAATCTTAACAATATTCGGTCATCCATTCCATCAACTTGCTATCACTATTTATTTATTTTTTTTTTCAGCATATTATGGGGGTACAGATTTTAAGGTTTCAATAAATGCCCATTTCCCCTCTCCCCCCACAAGTCTGAGTCTCCAGCATGACCATCCCCCAGATGGTGCACATCTCACTCATTATGTATGTATATACCCGCCCCCCTCCCCCTCCACTGCCCAATACCCTATTATTGTAGTACCATGTGTCCACTTAGGTGCTGCTCAGTTAATACCAGTTTGCTGGTGAGTATATGTGGTGCTTGTTTTCCATTCTTGGGAAAACTTCACTAATAATATGGTTCAGCTCTAACCAGGAATATAAGATGTGCTATATCACCATTGTTTCTTAGAGCTGAATAGTACTCCATGGTATACATATACCACATTTTATTAATCCATTCTTGGATTGATGGGCACTTGGGCTGTTTCCACAGCCTTGCAATTATGAATTGTACTGCTATAAACATTCAAGTGCAGGTGTCTTTTTTGTAGAGTGTCATTGGATCTTTTGGTAGATGCCAGCAATGGGATTCCTGGATCAAATGGTAGATTCACTTGTATCACTTTAAGGTATCATCCATATTCTTTCCACAGAGGTTGAACTAGTTTGCAGTCCCACCAGCAGTGTAGGAGTTTTCCTCTCTCTCCGCAACCACGCCAGCATTTATTGTTCAGAGACTTTTTGATAAAGGCCATTCTCACTGGAGTTAAGTGATATCTCATTGTGGTTTTGATTTACATTTTCCTGATGATTAGAGATGTTGAGCATTTTTCATATATTTGTGGCCATTCTTCTGTCTTCTTTAGAAAAATTTCTGTTCAAGTCCTTTGCCCCTTTTTAATAGGTTATTGATTTTTTCTTGCTGATTTTCGTGAGTTCTAAGTATATTCTAGTTATCAGTCCCTTATCGATGCATAGGATGCAAAAATTTTCTCCCATTCTGTAGGTTGTCTGTTTACTTTCATGACTATTTCTTTGGCTGTGCAGAAGCTTTGTAGTTTGATCATGTCCATTTATTATTTGTTGCTCCTGTGATTGCTTTGGGACTTCTCATAAACTCTTTGCCAGGCCAATGTCTAGGAGAGTGTTTCCAACTTTTTCTCTAGAGTTCTAATAGTTTCATACCTTAGGTTTAAGTCTGTTATCCAGCGTGAGTTGATTTTGTGAGAGGTGAAAGTGTGGGTCCTGTTTTAGCCTTTACAGGTGGCTATCCAGTTTTCCCCGCACCATTTATTGAAAAAGATTCTTTTCCTCAGCGTATGTTTTTGTCTGCTTTGTCAAAGATGAGATGGCTATATGAGGATGGTTTTATATCAGGATTCTCACATCTGTTACACTGGTCAATATTCCTATTTTGTGCCAATACCATATTGATTTAATTACTACAGCTTTGTTAGTATAGTTGATATCTGGCATATTAATGCCCCCAATTTTTTTTGTTGCCTAGAATTGCTTTTGATATTCGGGGTCTTTTTGGTCCATACGAAGCATAAAATTATTTTCTATATCTGTGAAGAATGCTGATGAAATTTAATAGTATTGCATTGAATCTGTAGATCAGTTTCGGTAGTATAGACATTTTGATGATATTGAGTCTGCCGATCCACGAACATGGTATGGATTTCCATCTGTTTACATCCTCTGCTATTTCCTTCCCAGTGTTTCATGTTTCCCTGTAGAGGTTTTTACATCCTGGTTAAGTATATTCCTAGGTACTTTAGTTACTTTGTGCTATTGTGAAGGGAATTGAGTCTTTGATTTGGTTCTCAATTAGATTGTTGTTGGCGTATATGAATGCCTCTGATTTCTGTGTATTGATTTTGTACCTGAGACTTTACTAATTCATTGATCAGTTCCAGGAGTTCTTGTATTTTGTTTTAAATATAATATCATATCATCAGCAAACAGTGAAAGTTTGATCTCTTCTGCCCCTATTTGGATACCTTTGATTCCATTTTCCTGTCTGATTGTGTTAGGCTACAGAAATGTACAGCCCGTGTGGGGGAGAGATGGCCGCTCAAAAAGACTCAGAGTCCAGAGACTTGATGCAAAAGCATGAGGTGGATTTATTTCCAGCGCGGAGCAGGGGCGTACAGTGAAGCTGTTGCCCCGACCTTTTTTTCCTTAGGATTTTTATAGACAGAAACCACACGCAGGTGGCTAGGGGTCACAGGGTGGGGGGAAAGTTTCATGGGCTTTGACCTTGCACAAACATGTACCAGATTAGCTAATGTCGGGAACTTCTAATCTTGGTCAGTAATTTCCAAGGACTAACGGCTGGGGAGTTACAGAGTGGCACCGGCGGGGGAGGGAGTAGGGTTGAGCGAGCAGCGCCAGCGAGGGGAGGAAGTAGGGTTGAGCGAGCGGATTTTACAGAAGCAGAACGGTGGGTTAGATTTTTCTCCACAATTGCTGTAGCCAAGACTTCCAGCACTATGTTGAACAGAAGTGGAGATAGTGGGCAGCCTTGTCTGGTTCCAGTTCTAAGTGGGAATGATTTCAATTTTTCCCCATTCAGTATGATGTTGGCTATGGGTCTGTCATATATGGCTTGTATCATTTTTAGGTATGTCCCTTCTATATCTCTATTTATTTAGTCTTCTTTAATTTCTCTTGGGAAATCTTTGCTAGTTTTTAGTGCACAGATATTTCACATATTTTGTTAAATTAATTTCTAAACAACAGTTTTAGTTATTTTGCACCTTTAAAAAGTGGTATTTTTATTATATTTTCCTATTGTTTATTGTTAGTATTAATATAGAGAAGTATAATTAATCTTATATTAATATTGTAACTTTTTCAATTTCAAAAGTTTTAACTCTGGTATAGTATTTATTGCATTTTAATGATTTCTGTACCTAAAGCATCAAGTTGCTGGTAAATGAAGACAACATCTTTTCCAGTCTTTCTTTGTGTACTTTATTTCTGTGGTTTTTTGGTTTATTTGCATGCTTTTTAGCAACACCTTCCTAATGGGAAAATTATACAAACTTATGTCAGAAAATGCTTTATCAAGTGAAGTATTTTTGTTGATGTTTCCCACTTTTGGTTGGCTCTCAACATCAGCCAATTGTAACCCTGCTATCTACCCATGTATTCGTTGGTGCCTTTTCCCCTTAGGGAACAAAATCTCCGCCAGAACTGATGGACTGAGCCCCTGGATTGTCAAAGGAGGCTCACAAACAAATATCTACCTTTCTTAGAGGACAGTGAGAAAAGGAGAGCCTTCCCAGCTGGCCTCCCAGAGAACACAACAGAAGATCTGGCCAGTGACCCCAAGTTTCTACACACAGTGCTTTCTTCCAAGCCTGCCTCTGAAGGGCTCCCTCAAGGGTAAGTTTGTCATCATGTTTCAAAGCCAGCGTGTCTCTCGAGGATCACTGACTTTGATATCCCAGGAGGCATATAAAACTGTGGTTCTGTCTGAGCTAAGGTCAGGAGAAATGAAAACATGCAATTAAAGTGGAGATCCATCCTATTTCCTTATCATCTTGTTTTTGTGTGTGGCTCTGTTAGCTTCAATATTGTGCAAACTGGATAATTAGTTCCTTGGAGATTTCTTGTACTGCCTTGAATCAAATTGAGGGAAAGGCTTTCATCAAACATTGTCAGATCTGGATAGAGAGGAATGAATGTGTAATACATTGTGAATAAAGGGAAGCAAAAATAAATGTGCAAAAGACTCGACATAGAGAGCAAGGTGGCAAAAGAGAGCATAAAAAAGGAAAGAAAGTGCTAAACGGAAGTTCTAAAAAATCCTGAAAATCTACTACATATCACGTATTTTGTATATTTTTTTCTTTTTGCATACATGTTTTTAAAAAAATCTTAGAGCAAATGTAATGCATGTTTATTGTTACCAAGTTAGTCAATTACAATAGGTTTATCAATTATAATGAAAAAGATGAAATTTAACAGAAATCCTTGGCATACCATAGTCAATGTTGTACTTCTTTTCACTCTTTGACATCTGTCAACTCTATAGATCTATCTATCTATGATCTACTTCCTATCATTTACCTATTTTATGCAATTTCGACTGGAAAGAATAAGTTGCTCTGTAACTTACATTTTATTTAATATTATACATTTTAATCAATTTTATTGAAGTATAATTTCTATAAGAGAAATCCATTGAAATGGACAGTCTGAGTACTGAAAAATGTCTACACTTGTTAAGTCCCTTCAAGATAGAGAGCATTTCAATCACCCCAGAAAGTTCCCTTAGGACTCCTGCATGCAATCATCCCTTCTGCATAAGGCAACCACTGATTTCTAAGTTTATATGTTAATTTTGTACATTCGTTTTGCAGGTAGTACAATTTCATATGAATCAAACTATACTGTATGTACTCTTTTATCTCTAGTTTCTTTTGCTCTGCATACTATTTTTCAGAGTCATCCATGTGAGCTTGTGTGTGTGTATGTGTGTGTGTGTGTGTGCATTCTTTTTACTGCTGAGTTGTATGTAATTGTATGGATATACCACCATATCATTATCCAGACACCTCTTGATGGTTCAATTTAAGACTATTATGAATAAAGCATTTCATTTTTAATCATTAAATATAATATTAACTATAGGTGTTTTGTAAATTCCCAGTAATGGGTTTAGGAAGATGCCTTCTAGTCCTAGCTTTTTCCTTTTTTTTTTTTGTAACCATGAATAGATGTTGGTTTTTTTTCACATTGTTTTGCCCCTATTAAAATGATTATGTAGTTTTTTCTTTTATATGTTATTGTGACAAGTCATATTGTTTGATTTTCAAATGTTGAGCCAACCTTGCACTAGTAGGATTACCTTACTTGGTTGTCTTGAAATATTCTTTTTATATAGCTTTAGTATTGTATTTGATGTGGATTTTTTAATCTATGACAATGATTGGCAGTGTCCTATAATTGAAAAGTGTTATAATACCTGTCAGTTCTGGTATTAGTGCTGTGCTGGCTTCATAAAATAATTTGGGAAGTGTTCTCCCTTTCTCTATTTTCTGAGAAACTTTGCATAAAATTGGTGTTATATCTTCCTCAAGTGCTTAATAGAATTAACCAGTGAAATTGAAATTAAATGGGACTGGAGTTTGTGTGTGTATATGAAAGCATTTTGATCATGATTTCTTTAATAGAAGTAGAGAGCCATTCTGATGCTTCATTGCTTCTGGTGTTACCTTTGATAAGTGGCATTTTTTTCAAACAATTTGTTCTTTTTCTTAATTCTCAAATTGTAAAATGTTATTCCTTATTATCTTTTCTTATTAACATTTCTAGGATCTAGAGTAATACTCCTTCTTTTATTTTTTTGGGATTGATAATTTTTGCTTTATTTTATTTTATTGTTCCTTGCTCAGTCCCTGTAGATTTTGAACAGTTTTATTAATTTTTTAAAATAATTGTTGTTTTTGTTGATAATTTTTGTTTACTTGTCTATTTTCTATTTCATTAATTTATACCCTAACCATTATTAATTCTCTCTTTCTTTGTGTCTTGAACTTAATTTCCTCTTTTCCCCCTTAGCTTTTTAATGGAGAAAACTAGATTATAGATTTTAAATTTAAGAATTTAATCTACAACTGCAATCCCAGCACTTTGGGGGACCCAGGCAGGGGATTACTTAAGGCCAAGAGTTCTTAGCCAAAAAGCTGAGAAGCAATGAGCCAGGAGTTCTAGAACAGTTTGGACAACATAGCAAGATGTTGTCTCTACAAAAAATAATTTAAAAAAATTAGCTGGCTATGGTGGCGTGTGCCTATAATTCTAGCTACTTGGGAGAATTGCTTGAGCCCAGGAATTTAAAGTTGCAGTGTGCTGTGATTGTACCATGCGCTACAGCAGCCTGGGTGACAGAGTAAGATCCTATCTCTAAAAAAAAAACGACAAAAGGAATTTAATTTAATATTCAAAATTAAAATATGCTTTCACTGCCTCAAATTAATGTTGATATGCTTTATTTCCATTAGTTTTTAAAAATTGCTAATTGCCATTATAATTTATTTTCTGATCTATAAATTTAGATTTAAAATTAAATTTTCTGATATTTTATTTTTTTATTTATATCTTATTATTAAAGGGTTTTAATCAAATTTAATTTTGGTCATAAAAGATAGTCTTATAGGTGCATACAGATTTAGGATTATTATATCTTTCTGATAATTTCTATTTTTATCATTGTGAAAATTTATCTTTAGCTCTTGTATTTCTCTTTGCCATGGAATCTGATTCATATGAAATTGATATAACCGTACCAGCTTTCTTAGGTGTACTCTTTACATGCTGTATCTTTTTACTCTCCTATTTTCAAGCTATTTGTTTTTAAATTTGAAGTTGGTGTTTTGTAGACAGTAAAATGTTGGGTCTTGCTTTTTCATCTCTGCATTTAGCTAACACTTACATTTGATGTACTTGTTGAAATGGTTGGGTTTACATCCACCATCTTGCCATGGGTTTCCCATGGGCCCCTTCTACTAATGATCTTGTTTCTGATGCACTTTTCCTCACTTATTTTGGGTTAATGGAATAGTTTTAGTATTCCATTTTATTGTCTCTATGGATCTTAGCTATATCTATTCCTATGGTTTCTTCATGGTTTCTCTAGAGCTGAAAATACACATCCTTGACTTATTAGAGTCTGTTCAGGGTTCAGTACTGCACTAATTCACACATGACTTATACTTTCTGTGTTAACATTTTCCACTTCTTGATCTATAATTGACACTTTCTGCTTCCTAAATATATTAACGTTACTGTATTATTTTTGTGTTTGTCCATCTCCTTCGTGTCATTGTTGTCATATCTTCTATTTCTACATACATTATATTTTCCACCCTAAATTATTAGTTTTGCTTTACTAATCAGTGGTCCTTTCAGAAAATTGGAAGATTAAAATATTTTATATTTACATTCTCATTTATCTTCCTTTTCTGGTTGTCTTTGTTTTTTTCTACATGTCAAAGTTTCCATTTGGCACCACTCACTTTAAGCCTGACAAGTATTCTTTAGAATTGCCCACAATGTAGTCTTCTAGCAGTTATCTACGAGTAGCTCTTATCTAAAAATAGCTTAATGTCATACCCCCTTTTTGAGGAATATCATCACAAGATGAGAATTGTCTCTTTTTATTTTAACAATTAAAAATTATTTTTCCAATATCTTTTGGGTTCCATTGTTTATGATAAGAAGTCAGCAATCATCCCTAATATGGTTTCCCTATATATAATGTTTTATTTTCTACTCCTGACTCCTGTTGAGATCTTTATATTTAGTTTTAGTCACTGATTATTTAATGTTCTTAGATGTATTTTCTGTGTGTGTGTTCCTATTGTAGTTATCCTCCTTGATGTGGCCTGAGATTTTTGTATATGTAAATAAATATTTTTCATCAAATTTAGGGAATTTCAGCCTAATTTCTTCAAATATTTCTTTCTCCTCATTCTTACCTCTTTTTATTCTAGAATTCCTATTAAAGATATGTTAAACCATTTGATGTTGTACCTCACTTCCTGGATACTCTATTCATTTTTCTTCACTTATATTTTCTCTGTTTTTCAGATTGGATATTTCTATTGATATATCCTCAAGTTCACTGGCTGTTTCCTCTGCTATATTTGTTCTGCTATACCTTTTAGCTCTATAATTTACATTTGATTTTTTTTTCTATATAGTTTTCTTTTTTGAGGAGTCTTTATTTGTTCATTAATTTTTTAACTTTTTTGTTCTTTGACTATATTTTCCTTTAGTTCTTTGAATAGAGTTGTAATAACTGCTTTAACATTATTGTTTGTTAATTTAATACCTGACCATTCAAAGTGGGTTTTTAATGTAGATTTCCTTTAACTCTATTTTTCTGTTTTTTTCTCCTTGCACATCCAATAAATATTTATACACATATATTTTTTTAATTTTGAAAGTTATATTTATGTATAACTATTAGTTTTAAATCACTTAGTGAACATCAATCCTAATTAATTGTAGCTACTAAAGGTAATCTTGTCATCCTTAAAAGAGTATTGATTATTATTCTGGCGGGTAATTCAAATACTATCTGATCACCTTGAATCAGCGTAGGATGGGGTTTTGCTCTTTGTTAAGACATACCTACAGAAAGCCCAAATTATTTTCTAAATCTGTCTAACTAGGCAGATTTAACCTCCAAACTCTGTCTCCTCAATAGCTCTTGTTAGGGCACGGCTTAGGTTCTATTTGGACAGATCTCTAGTTTATTTTAGGATATGGTCCTACTTTTAAGGTATGGCTTTTCTGGTATCTCAGATGGATGCCTGCCAAGTTGATGAGGTCTCTCTACTCTGGCTGCACTAGATCTTTAATGTCCCCTACCACTACTCAACCTTTGCTCTCTCTGTTACATTTTCAGTGCCACATCTTTTGGGATGCAAGGCTTATCTCTTGGACAAAGAGTCATAGGGAATCACTACTCAGTCTCCCAGTACTCATCCTTCATGGAGCTATGCCTGCCAGACTCCAGCCACTTCAACTGCCTCCACCTGATCTCTGTCTATTCTCTCACTGCTTAGAGTTAGGAAAATAGTCAGCCAGCCAGCCAAGGGCTTAGCTCATGAGCTCACCTTTGCTCACGATTGAACTTTTGTACTGCCTTTTGTCTAGTGTCTCAAAATTGCTGTCTCATATTTCATGCCAGGGTTTATGTGATTCATCTAGGCTTGTGTTGGACTATATTAGTTCGATAAAATGACGCAGATTCTTTCCATCACAGCATTACCTGTGCCAGTACATGATCATAAGATAATATGAAGGTGGAGATATTTGTCAGAATACTAGAACAACTTCTAGACCGTGTGCTGATGTATCCGCATGTTTCCAGAGATCCCATCGCAATCAGACTTGAGATGGAGACGTAGGTATAGAACAGAAGATCTTCAAATGTGCGCTCAATATGATTTTGAGATTCGGGAGCATATTTAGCTAAGTTCTCATATCCTTGTTTCCACTTGAGGAAATGGCTATGCTTACTCGGCAAGTCCAATTTCAGAATGATACTAGGAATCTCAGTGTAAAGGTGATGTGAGCGACACATAAATCGATCCTTCTTGAAAGTTTGTTATCGGTAACTCAGGGAGTGAATAAGCTGGAGCAATTCTGCTTGGCATGTAGCGTGGAACAACTCAGTGTTTAATTTACTGCTTGAACAGCAAGTTGCTCTATAATGACGCCATAGAGCCCATATACATTCTTTGTGCAGGTAGACCCTCGAGTCGTTTTGCTCTCTATACACTGATTTAATAAGGCCCACCAACATTGTGGAGGATAATTTGCTTTATTCAAAGTCTATTTATTTAAATATTAAACACATCTAAAAAGTACTTTCATAGCAACATCTAGACTGGTGTTTGACCAAATAACTGGGCACTACAGACAAGCCAAGTTGATACATAAAATTAACTAGCACATCTTTGCAATGTGAATTATGCTGCTAGAAACATTCCAGTGAAGGTGTCTTTTTTATAGAGTGTCTTTTGTTCTTTTGGGTAGATGCCCAGTAATGGGACTGCTGGATCAAATGGTATATCCACTTGTATCGCTTTAAGGTATCGCCATATTGCTTTCCACAGAGGTTGAACTAGTTTGCAGTCCCACCAGCAATGTAGGAGTGTTCCTATCTCTTCGCATCCATGCCAACATTTATTGTTTTGGGACTTGTTAATAAAGGTCATTCTCATTGGAAATAAGTGATAGCTCATTGTGTTTTTGATTTCCATTTCCCTAATGATTAGAGATGTTGAGCATTTTTTCATATGTTTGTTGGCCATTATTCTGTCTTCTTTTGGAAAGTTTCTGTTCATGTCCTCTTGCCCAATTTTGATAGGGTTGTTTGATTTTTCCTTGCTGATTTTCCTGAGTTCTAAATAGATTCTAGTTATCAGCCCTTTATTGAATGTGTAGCTTGCGAAAATGTCCTCCCATTCATTGGTTTTCTGTTTACTCTCGTGACAGTTTCTTTGGCCAAGTGTCCATCAATACATAATGGATTAATAAAATGTGGTATATGTATACTATGGAGTACTATTCAGCTATAAGAAACAATGGTGATATAGCACCTCTTGTATTTTCCTGGATAGAGCTGAAACTCATACTACTGAGTGAAGTATCCCAGAAATGGAAAAATAAGCACCACATGCACTCACCAGCAAATTGGTTTCACTGATCAACACCTAAGTGGACATGTAGGAATAACATTTATTGAGCGTTGGGTGGATGGGAGGGGGGAGGAGGGGATGGGTATATACATACATAATGAATGCAGTGCGTACCATCTGAGGGATGGACACACTTGAAGCTCTGACTTGAGGGGGGAGCAGGGACAAGGGCAATATATGTAACCTTAACATTTGTACCCCCATAATATGCTGAAATTAAAAAAATAAATAAAAAATAAAAAAATTAACTAGCACAATACCCCCCAAATTTTTTTAGCCATTTGTATGTGATTTTCAATTTTCTACAATTTATTTTATTATAACTCAGTTTCCAGAATTTTAATTTATTTTCTCATTTTCACTATTTTATAGAGAATATACTTATTCATATGTCTTTATTTAAAACCTTGATTATTAATATTTCCTCTGACTAGAGCATAATAACTTAAAATATTAGGTCAAACAATTGAAAGGACATTAATGTATTACCATCAGGTCCTCAGAAAATGGTTAGTGTTTTATTTTACCACTAAAAATGTACAGTGATGTCAATATTTTCCCTTGATGAAATATGCTCAGTATTTTTAACTATATTTTTATTGGATGGATAAGGATATTATAATATCCTTATATATTGCTGGTGTTTAAATTTGCTTCAGTGTTATTACAAATAAATTTAAAAAAATTTAAAATTATTTTATTACCAATTTTTATTTCTATTCGGCATATTTACATTCGGCTTGTCAGTCTTAATCTTGTACATTTGTAATAGATAGGTATATAGTTGGGATGAATACTCTTTGTCACTTACCCTCTATAATTTCCCACTTTGTTAGTTGCTTTTTTATATCTAAAATTAGCAGAAAGCTTTAAGAGAACAATCTACTTTTTAGCATGGTAAATTCAGTAATTTCTCAAATATCTGATTTGTGGAAATTTTTATGCTTTCTTATTTTTATGTGATATTTCTCACATGGTATTCCATGATAGAGAAGTACTTTTTTTTAAATTAAGTGATTCTTATTAGAAAAAAAATCATAGCTAGTACATTTGTTATGGATTCTTCCATTTTTATATTATTTACAGAATTGTTTACTATTTTATAAGTTTATATTACTTATAGGATTGAGTTTTTCCTAGCATATAAGCATACAACATGAAGATGCCTACTCAAAATATTATAGAATGAAGTCCGTAATTTTTTCTCACAGTACCTCACTGAGCGAACACTCTATGTTTGGATATGTAGTTTTCTAACAGTCTTTATTTTGGAAATAATCAACAACTTTTGATTCTTAATTCGGGAGAATTATGAAAATAATTTCTTATTTCCAAGGATTTGAGAGTTTTGATTATGTTTTCATTTACTTTTGTATTTTACTTTTAATTTAATACAGGAATGGTCTGTATAGTTTTTGCCTTTATGTATTTAATGGAGTTTCAACAACAGGAAGGAACTGGTGTAACAGCACAAACAATGTTGGACAGACAGCAAAATTTGCCTGCAAGAAAACCTTCTTTCTCCTCCTTGTTTTTGTTTCAAAATCCTACAGAGGTCCATGGATTCCTCAATCACAGGGGAGTGTACCCTGCTGTCTAATGCTGAAGAAGATGAAAAAACTGAAAGAAAAGGATAGCTGTGAGTTTTCTGGCTTGACTACATATCCATCCAGCTCAAGCAGAAAGCCCATGAGATTAAATGAGAAGTTAAAACTGGGGAAATCTCACAACTCATCATCACCAGGCTGACTGATGCCTGAGAAGGGAAGACCAGAGCAGTCTTCCCAAATTGACTGAGGGCTGGAAAGTTCCCAGAAAGTTCATCAGAGACTTCATAGGATTCAGGTGTTGAATGACTCCTCCCCCAAGCAGACTGGAGCTAGGGATCACAGTTCATTAATTCACTGAAAAATAAATTGATATTTCTTGAAAGTTTGAAACTATGCACTAAAATTTCAACCATTATTATCTCATAATAAGTCTGTTCCTCCATATCTTTTTGAATTGTGTTAATACTTGATATGCTACAGATTTGGAGTTGTGGGTTAATGTGCACCACTTTACTGGTGTTTGTATTATTTTCTTCTTTATTTTCAGCAAATTTTTCTTTCTTGCCTTTTGTTATTATTTTACTTGTCAAATGAGAGACTGTGGCTGCAATATTTTCACTGTGGATTTTACATTTTACTACATTTATATTACATTACTACATTTACTAATATAAAATAACTTTACTTCTTTAATGCCTTAAACTTTACTTTGCTTGTTCTTGCCTGCCTTATATCTGTTTTGATCATCTTCTATGTCTGCACAATTATGTGTGCAGCACTTATTTTGTTTAAATATATTCTATAAACCATATAAAATAAGTGTTTTCCATTCAAAGATTCTCTTCATTCTGGGGGACTTAGCTCATTTCATTCATTATCTTATCTAAATTTGCATTTTGGTCTTTTTATAAAAATCATTTATCCTTAATCTACAATCTATAGAACAGATTTGGTCCAGCACCTGTTTTTGTATAAGCTAAAAATATTTTTTTTTTGCATTTTTAAAGAGTTACCCCAAAAAAGAAGTAAAAGAAAAATACCCGTGACAAAGACCATATGTGGCATACAAAGCTAAAATATCCACCATCTGGTCCTTCAGGTTCCTAATCCAATTGCTCGTGCACGTGACTCTTGGACTCAGGGTGGGGGGTTCCATTCCCCACCCTCCATGGCTGGCGCAGCTGTCAGTGCCTAGGAATTAATGCCTCCTGGCAGCAGTCCTTGAGCAATGACTATATCACATCCATTAACGAGTAAATATCCTTCTCAGGTGGGGGAGCTCTGAGGCAGTCGTTCTACATTGACTTAGAGTCCCCCAACATGTCACGCTCCAGCTGGCCACGGTGGCTGCATGCTTGAGTGCACATATTTTATGGTTTCCCCCGTCTCACTTTTTTATCACAACCTCCCCCTACCCCAGCCCGTTTCCAGGTATTACGTCCCAAACAAATGATTGACACAAAATCCATGTTGTGTCATTGCCTAAAATATTCTTCTGAATGAATATTTTCTAGGTTTTCTGCCTCTTTGAATTCTAAAGAATTCCTTAATTTTCTACATAATGCATTCCTGAAGACATGTACTAGTGGAGTATGTACAATCTAAAAAGGTAGACATATGTTCTCAAAGAGGCAAATATATGATTTAAAATATCCCATGACATTAACCTTTAGTCACAAATTTGAAAGGAATATTTTAAACATTTCACACCTAATTTTTTATTTAAAAAAATTTTTTTTTACACTTTCTCACATGAGTTGAACGTGTTTATCTAATGACTAATTGAAGCTAAAGACTTACTTCTTTAGACATACTTAGTAGTTTTTATCTTTGTCTGAGTTTTATTGTATTTGTACTGCCTTTGACTGGCGACTTCATTTTTATTTTTTTTTCTTTCCACTTTTTAAATTAACCAGGTCAAAATGAAATTAGGTTTCTAACTGGAAAAAAACTATTCTTCAGATAAAGAGAAAAATGTTGCTGCTAAAATGTACATTTGGCAAACTGGCACTTTTACCTCGAAATATTCCAATGTCTTTATTCATCAAATGAAGAAATAAAGCCATAATTGACTTGAGAAAGGAATTTCAGACTAACAATGTGTGATTTTTCTAAAGAATGCCATGCACAAAAGTTAAATATTTAAATAATAATGATAATAATTAAGAACTGTATGATGGCCTTTTTCTTTCTGCTTCCCCTAGGTGTCCTTATAGTTTTAGGTTGCAGTAGCTTAATTCTGGTGACTTTACTTGCTCTGCTTATTCTTGCCAAAGAAGAAATTTATTTACCCAGTGTTTAGGGCAGTGGTTCACAGCCATGACTGCCCAATGGAATTCAGGGTGCTTTAAAGACAACAGGAGGACCTGGGTCCTACCTCCAGAGATTCCAATTTAATTGGTCTGGGGTGTGGCCTGGACATTGGGAATTTTGAAAGCTTTCTAGGTGATTTTAATGTGCAGCCAAAGCTGAGACCCACAGATAGAATCAGCTAGGAATTCAGATGGGTTCTGTTGGACTTTGATATTTTCTTGTTTGAAACTTTCATATCACAAGAAAAAATGATACATATAAATTCAGAGTATAGTCCCAATTGGTAGCTCAGTTTCTATTCTGAGGTTTTCTTTCTTCTTGTGCTTTATTGGAAGGAATAAGTTACATGCTCCCAGGTCTCCATGAGTATGGCCACGTGCTAACCTGTTGTCACCCTGTCTTCTAGGACGATGTACCTGTATCACCAGTTCATTACTCAGCACTGTCACCCTGACTACAAAGAAACCAGAGAATTTTTATGAGCACTGACCCCAAATCTAGGCAGATTCCAAATCACCTTCCCACCTCAAGCCTACCATCTCATCTCTTCTCTTTTTCTCTCTAAGTTCTAATTATCAGGCAGCTTTTATAGACTATACAGTATAATGGTTCTAAGATCAGAGGAGCTGCCAACAGAGGCATCCTTGTCAGATCACATACTGTACAGTGTCAGAGAGAGGATTTCCACTCCACCCCCTGCCATCTGTGTGGTCCAAATTATTTCAAGTAGCTGACACTGCCCTTTCTACCATGAAGGGCATCTGACTAAGCAACCTAAGCCAACTATAGCAATTCACCTGGTAAGCTCAACTCACTGGTTTATGGACAAGCACCTGATCTGAGCTGGACCAATGAGACACCTCCCCAGGACATCTACAGAGAGGCAAACCTCAATCTCTGTCTTTCTATCAGTGACCTTACTGTTTGCCGGGTCAATGAATCCAGTTGACAAACTGATGCTCTCAAGCAAGGTGAGAAGAAATGGGACTCAGGGAATGTCCTGGGCATGTTCAAGTTTATGAGACACAGTCTCATAAACACTAGTATCATAAACACTAGTATCACCTAGTCTAATACTAATTTCCATCTCTTACATAAGCCTATAAATTCCCCTTTTGCCTAAAATGGTTCGAGTTGGGTTTCTGTCTCTCCAAACCAAAGAATTCTGATTGATAGCAGCACTCAAATTGTAATGAGAAGATTTGAGTTTCAAACTTGGCTAAGACCCTGAGAATTTATAGGCATTCCTGTGAAATGACAGTAACAACACCAGCACATTAGAGAAAAGACTAAAATTCCTGTCTTGACATCTGGTATATAATAACAGAATGGACTAATATACAGAAAAGAGTTTCCCGCCCCTTCTCTCCCTACTCCTCTCCACCCACCATCTAAAAGAGCAGAGAAGTGAGCTCCCAGAGACACCAAGCAAAGTGCCTTTCCTGACTTTCAGTCTTCTGTGAAAGAGTCTTATATGTATGTTCTACTTTGGGATTCAGTGTAGTTTCACCAGAATCAAGTCCTGCGCCACCGAAGAAAACAATATATAAAAGCAAGGATTTCTAATAATTCTTTGCCCTAGAATCCTTACATTTCCCTTTAAGAATAACTGCATACCTTTTCTTAATGTCTGGGATAATGTGAGTGACACACATCTAGGGATTTAACAGATCTCTAGGTGATTAACCCGCTCCTCCTGACTAGCTGCTCAGAGCTAGGAAGGAAGCCGTGGCAAAGTTTTAAAATACCCACAGAAATCAGACAGTGTAACAGTCAACAGAAAAATAAAAGAACATTTCACGTTATTCAATTTCCACAATCTCCGTAAACATCTTGAGGAAGCCAAAGCCTTCTATTGATCAGTTTAGTATGTCACTCTACTCCAAAGGAAAATGGTAATAAAATGAATGCCATTATGTGTTCAGAGACCCCATCACAATATACTAAGTGTGACAGGTCCCTCTGTGCTCAGAATGTTCCACATTTATAAATAAAAACTCTTTGCTCGCTTCCTAAAATCGTTCCTTGCTATAAAATTATATCTGTGTAATTTTATACTTCAAATTCTTATCTTGTTCTCATTTGTGCATTTGCCTCCTGCTTCCACTTTGATGAGGGTGATATATTTATATCCTCACTTGGAGTTCAGAGACAGCAGAGAGAATTGGATAAACACACCAAGGGCCTGACAAGGCCATGAAATGCCTCACTCTGTTCCTGTACACTGCCTTCTATTACAGAAACGCAACTTGTCCTTGGAAAAGCATTTGTTCATTTCCTACTTTGGGGTACCTCAGTGCCTTTATGCCAGTCTATTACCAATGCTCTAACAGATAAAAAATAGAAAATAACACAGTGAAAACACCAAGCAGACCAGTCTCAGAAAACATGTGTTCTTGTCAATTGAAATGGAGCATCACTACTTTGCATATGAACATAAACACCTTGTATGTCACCTGTCCTTTTTGCCCGTCACTCTTTGGAAAAAAGAATAGGGACCTGTGGTCAGTAGATGGTTTTGTTCAAATTTAATTTCTGTTGGTTGATTACATTTCTCTAAGGAAAAGCAATTTATTCCTCTGAACATTATATCTCCACCTTTTGTAAAACAGGAATAATAATGTGTAAGCAATGGTTGGTTTAAAGTAAAAAGACATAATGTATGTGAAATGAAATCCAAAGCATTTTTGCAGTTATCATACTTTGGAATAAAATAAACCCAAGGATAGTTTCCAGAAAGGCCATTGGTATTGTCTTCTGGAAAAATAGCCCTGATAAGACAAGTGTCAAAGTGCTTCTTCTTTGGGGAAGGAAGGACAAGTTAAAACACATAATTAGACATCCATGTGGTTTTTTTTCACCACTCAAAGTCTCACTTCCCACTGATGTTTAAATGACCTAAGCACAGTTCTCATTGCTAATGGAAGAATGGTATTGAGGTGACTGCAATAAAAACACCTGCTCATCCCTCTGCATTTTTAAGAGACACAGCTGTTATTCATAATGATCCCAGAGTCAAGAAGCAAGGCCCCACATATCAGTCAAATGGAATTCTTACTTGACATGGAGTTCACTGAGGGAGCTCATGAGTCTTTTAAGTAACCATCTGAGAATTGATTGCATGCAGGTTTGGCAGTCTGCAACATGGGACATTCAAAAGGCAGAGTGATGCTTCTACAACCCAAACACTAGGCATGTGATTCATCTGTTCTACACCCTGCCCTGGCTCGCCACATAGGCCCTGATTCTTCTGAATGATGTGTAAACCCTTTTCATCAGGCTTCATTCTCTCTCCCCTCATGCCACTTTTCCTACACACTGTCACTCTAAGCCAGCCTCTCCAACTCTCAGTGCTTAGGTTGTGGGTGGGAAGAGAGACTGTTTTTCTGTGTGTGTCACACAGGCCTGTATTT